CAGTTGCCTGATCTTGGGATGCTCTCTCTCTCTCTCTCTCTCTCTCTCTCTCTCTCTCTCTCTCTCGTATGTATCTAGGCAGCCACTTGTATTTCCATTAAGGTGTCAAATGAGCTTCCACCATCATCAGTTTTGAGTGTCTCACATATGATAGACTTGGCTCTTTTATGTCTTATATGTACTACAGTGAAACCTCTTTATAACAGACTTCTATCTCTATAATCTGTTAAATAGGGGTATCACATCTAAAGGACTCTCGATATAACGGACTTTCATTCCTATACAGTTCGTTAGATGGAGGTTTTACATCTAACAGACCTTTGATATAACGGCATTTTCTCTCCATGTAGTCCGTGGAATAGAGGTTTCACTGAATACAGGAATCTGACTTGAGTTACCATTAGCGGGACGTCAAGAACGGCTCTGTGACGTCAAGAACGGCTCTGTGACGTCAAGAACGCCACTGTGCATCAAATCCCTGATCTCTCGCCTTGTTTGTCCTGGCTCTCAGACGTGTAGTTTGTTTACACTGTCAACGATCGTCTATCACGGGGCCAACCACCTCTACCTCACCCTTCTATACCTCACTCCTCACCATCTCTACCTCACTCCTCACCATCTCTACCTCACCCCTCACCATCTCTACCTCACCCCTCACCACCACTACCTCACCCCCCACCACTACCTCACCCCTCACCACCTCTACCTCACCCATCACCACCCCACCCCACCCACCACCACCTCACCACCTCACCTCACCCTCACCACCTCTACCCCACCCTCACCACCCCACCTCACCACCACTCCCACCACCACCACCACCCCACCTCACCACCACCTCACCACCTCACTCCACCCTCACCACCCCACTACCCTCACCACCTTTACCTCACCACAACCCCACTCACCTCACCACCACCTCACCCTCACCACCTACTCACCTCACCACCTCTACCTCACCCCACCACCTCTACCTCACCCCTCACCACCTCTACCTCACCCCTCACCACCTGTACCTCACCCCTCAAAACTAAGGTGATAATTCCTCTTAAAAAGGTAAAAGTTTCTGAAGACAAAGTATTCGTCGCGGAGAATTCAGGCCAACAGAACTTCAAGACAGGATTGTAGTCGTTTCTCAGAGTGTCAGCAGCAGTCAGGAAGATGTGACTGAGTTTTTTTTTTTTTTTGTCGCCACTACACGCCAATAAAGACTGGTGGGGAAGGTGACTGTCTGTGGACTGACTGTGGACTGTCTCTCTTATGTTTTTAGAATTTCTCGTGAAGGGTGACAGTTTAGTGATACAATTGGCTATATATACAGTACACGTCATCCTCAGAAGTAAAACAGATTAGAATATACAGTTAAACGTATGATAAGAGTATTAGACATAACACTAAGAGAAGTATACATAGAAATAATAAATCTTAATAGTTTAATAATAAAGCTTTCTATAATCTAGTCTCATAATGTCACCAAACCTCAAAATAATTAAAAAAAAATATTCGAATCTTCCTTAATACCTGGTGATCTATGATATGAAACAAGGTCACCTGATTACCATGTAGCGATGATAGCGGGTTGAAAGGAAATGTTATCACTAATATTTAAAAAAAGTTATTATATCATTTGTTTTACTAATTCGATTAATTGTTATTGTAGATGGAATTGGAAAGGATTTGTGGAGGGAGGAGAGTACAGTAGTGTGTGTGTGTGTGTGTGAGTGTGTGTGTGTGTGTGTGTGTGTGTGTGTTTTAAGGGACTCTAGCCAGCATCTCCATGGTAACCACTTGCCTAGCGTCTACTGCCTTACACGCTGCCATACACTTACACATTACTGTATTTTACACATTACTGTATTTTGTTATTCATATACAACATGTTTTATTGTCTTTATGTATACTGTGGTATGTATAACACTGATTTTGATTTTTACATACATTAATAACACTACACGTATATATACACGTTAGGTTACGTTAGTTGATCATTTAACTAAACATTACTTGAAGGTGTAATTATGGTCCAGAGTCTTAATGCTCAAAAAAAAATATATAAATTTCAACTTAGTTTCATCTATACTTGGAACGGGAGAAATTTTGTTGAGTATAGTAAAGTCTCAGTATGACTTAGACACCGACACTGTCTCGCTATTTTTCTTTTTTTTTTGTTACTGGGATTAGCTCACCCGTGCACATCGGGTCCTGGGGGGCGAGAATGTAATAATAATAATAATAATAATAATAATAATAATAATAATAATAATAATAATAATAATAAAGAAATACAAAAATGAAAAAAAGATCAAAAGTGAGAAACAATATATGTATGTCGTGTTGTCAATAGTAAGAGAAACAATTGAGACCCTGCAATTGTGTGTAAATGAGGCAGAAAGTCAGATCAGCAACCTGGGACTTGGTCATATATGGCAGCAGGGTCTACCATTAGACAACACATTATGCTTCCAATATCTTCCCAGGCGGTAGTACCTCAGTCTCAGTTATTTGCCCTATGACGAGAGAGAGAGAGAGAGAGAGAGAGAGAGAGAGAGAGAGAGAGAGAGAGAGAGAGAGAGAGAGAGAGAGGAGAGAGAGAGAGAGAGAGAGAGAGAGAGAGAGAGAGAGAGAGAGAGAGAGAGAGAGAGAGAGAGAGAGAGAGAGAGAGAGAGAGAGAGAGAGAGAGGAGAGAGAGAGAGAGAGAGAGAGAGAGAGAGAGAGAGAGAGAGAGAGAGAGAGAGAGAGAGAGAGAGAGAGAGAGAGAGACTCATAGTTTACCAAGTGGCTCTTACTGGCTCAATCTATGGCTCTCATTTAGTCTCTACTAATATTTGTCTATATAACCTTTGAGTAATGATGGAAGGATACTTAAGCACTTCTTCAATGTGTTTTTTTTTTCCTTGTGTTTGATTCTGGCATAAAATATTTCTTTTACACGAGAGGTTAAGACAATATCATGGTACTATAATATTAATTTCATCTCTTCTCTCCTCTTACCGGGTAGAGCACGGGTTCTTGTGTGTGTGTTAGTGGGGGATAAACAGCGCTAACACACACTCCTGCGGGGATAATAATGTAGCAGGTGTATCTACAGAGGCTGAGGTGTGATATAATTTCTGTAGGTAATGTACTTAGTTGGAGTCTCTCTCTCTCTCTCTCTCTCTCTCTCTCTCTCTCTCTCTCTCTCTCTCTCTCTGAAGCACGCAACCCTTTAGAGTTACCAACAGTTCTCTCAACCGTATAAGTAAAATAATCAGGTTTATTTTTTAGTACGCGATGACTTCACCTCCAGTTGCTGCCGTGTTCCCTATAATACTGGGGCGTCTGTGTCTACTGTTACCGAGTGTCTTCTGCAACCACTCACTCCCCTCCTTCGTCACTTACATAACCAGTCTAGTCAGTACGTTAGGTCTCGGGGTTTAAGCTACTGTACGTCATCAGTCTTCACCTTCTGTCGCCCCCTCCTCCTCCTCCTCCCACCTGCTCTTCCTCCTTCAGCTACCCCCTCTTCCTTCCTCTCATCCCTTCCTCCTTCTCCTCTCCCCTCCTTCCCCTTGTCACCACGCCTACCTCCTTTACAACAAAAACGCCTTTTAATAACCACACCTTAACCAACATCACATATACCCTCAAGAGCATCCACATCCAACATTTTTTTCACACATTTCTGTTACTTTCAACATCACATTCCTCCAGATCTTTTTTTCCTCGAGTAACATTATGTAATTTCTTCCGCCCCAACTTTTTGTAACCTCTTGTAACAGGGAGGGTCTTTGAGGTGCAGTTTATGGGGTGTTGACGTGGTTAATAAACAACAATAGACTCAAGTGCTGTGCCAGGCTGTGTAGGAGTCTTCATGATGCTCTGTGTGTGTGTGTGTATGTTGTTGAACTGGTGTGTGAAGTGACGTGTCTTGTTGATGTTCGTGGTGAGTAATAGCAGTTGCCAGCTGGTTTTGTATCGTTATCTGCTGCCATCCAAATTGTCAGTGTTGTATCATTACAACCTTACCTAACCTAACCTAACCTACTGCTATACTTCTTAATTATATTGACCAAGACCTCCAAAGTCCCTTATCTCATGGTTCCCGCGTTGCATAACCCTGAAGCGGACCTTATCTCATGGTTCCCGCGTTGCATGACCCTGAAGCGGACCTTATCTCTTAGGAAACACTTCACGGGCAAACTAATTCCTCTCCCTCGCTGCTGCTCCTTGAAAGTGTTCGCTCGTGCAAAACTTTCCCTCGGCGCGACTTGCAATTATATTCCACGGTGCAATTTCCATAACTTTCAGGAGACTTTTATCTTGTTTTACCTTGTCTTACCAATTCAGTTATTGACTCCCTTTTCAACACTACCTTATGCATAGGTTGTGAAAATAAACTGATTCATTTTTACTGAAGTTTTGGATGACCACAAAAGTAGCCACACCTTCGCGAATAGCATTAATTATCTCAACAAAGGTCAAAGGTCAAAAGAGGTATCTGTTCTTACACTTTAGGACAATGTACGGTGGTTAAGTGACCTAATAAAGTGTACAAACATGTATTGGTCTTGTTTCTGTAGTTGCGAGATATAAACACATATGAAACTGGAAATAACGATTAAATATACTTTTGTTACATTACTGTATAATGTTAGGGAAGAAAGTCAGGGATAGACTGAGTGAGGCGGGGGAAAACCACTGTTACAAGTCACTGTCAACACGTGATAACTTGGAATTGAACTAATCTTACCACTAGAGGGATGAGGGGTTGTGGTGAGGGGGGGAGGGGGATTATGGTGGGGGGGATAGAATTGTGGGGGGAGATTAAGGCTCTAAGTTACCCATGAATATTTTTTAAATAAACATTGCTACTCTTCTAAGCTTCTAATATGAACTAAACATAAACTTACTCCCGTCATCAAACTAATTTCCAGAGACTAATATTATTGTTGTTTTGTTTTATGTTTGTATGTTTATTTACACTGACCCTCATTCACGTGGATTTTTAATGTTTATTTCAGAAGCTGGGGAGGGACGTGAGGCCAGGCCGGAGCGTGATAGGCCGTGAGGTAACCTGACCCACTGTACCGCCACCTTAACCCACCAGGTGAGTTGTGTACCTGTTAACGAGGTGTATAACAGGTGAGGTAAGAGTAGAAGTATGGAGTGGCAAACAAAACTAGAGACAGACAAATAATAAACGGGAGGAGAGAGAGAGAGAGGAAGAGAATGATAGTAAGAAGGAAGAGAGAGTGTAAGAAAAAATATAGAGCGGGTGAAGAAAAATGTAAGGGAAAGAAAGGAGGAGAATTGTAGGAGTGGGAAAAAAGTATTGAGACAGACAGAAATCAACCAATGGAAGGAAGAGGGGGTGGGGGGTTAGGTTCTACGTGACACAAGGCAGCCAATGGGGGAACGACCTACGTGACACAAGGCAGCCAATGGAGGAAGGACCTACGTGACACAAGGCAGCCAATGGGGGAGGAAGGGTGGACCTACGTGACACAAGGCATCCAATGGGGAGAAGTTACGTGACACAAGGCTGTAATGATTGTTTATCAGACCATAGCTTACAGCCCAGAGAAGAACAGCATATATAACATAAGAAAATAAGGAGTCTGCAATAGGCCGGTTGGCCTGTGCATGGCAGCTCCTGTCGAGAGTTATTACCACTCTCTATCATCCATGAATCTATCCAGCCTCCTTTTAAAACTCCCCAGCGTTCCAGCACTTACTACAAAGTTGCTAAGCTTGTTCCACTCGTCCACCACCCTATTTGTGAACCAGTTCCTTCCTATCTCCCTCCTAAACCTAGACTTATCCAACTTAAATCCGTCGCTACGAGTCCTATCCTGCTCGGTTATTATAAGAACTTTATTGATTCCTTTCACCTACTTAAATACTTCTGTCATATCTCCCCGCACTCTTCGTTTTTCTAGGGCATGCAAGTTTAGTTTCTTTAACCTATCTTGATATGGAAAGTTTCTAAGTCCCGGAATCATATTCGTCATTCTTCGCTGCACCGACTCCAGTGAATTGATATCCATTCTATAATAAGGGCACCAGAACTGAACCGCATAATCGAGGTGTGGCCTGACTAACGCAAGATATAGTTGCAATAAGACCTCTGCACTCTTATTACTTACACTTATAGATATAAAACCTAATACAGTACTCTGTTTGCCTTATTTCGAACATTAACGCACTGTTTTCTAGGCCGTAGGTCCAGGCTTACAAATACCCCTAGGTCTCTTTCACAAGTCGACCTCTCTAGGTTGATGTTGTTAAGGCCGTATACGTTGACAGTATTTGTTCTTCCAGTATTAAGTACGCTGCACTTGCTGGTATTGAATTTCATTTGCCATTTCTCTGACCACTCCTGCAGTTTATTTAAATCCTCCTGTAGTGCATTTGCATCCTGCCCTGAATTAATCTGCCGCCCTATTTTGGTGTCATACGCAAACTTGCTTATGTCACTGCTGATCCCAGTAACTAGACCGTTTATATAGATTATGAACAAGAGTGGGCCCAGTACTGACCTCTGGGGAACCCCACTGGTTACACAGCCCCACTCAGATTTTACACCATCTACACTGACCCTCTGTGTTCTATCGGTGAGCCATGATTTTATCCAATTTAAAACTTTCCCCTCGATACCATGAGCCTTAATTTTTCTAAGAAGCCTCTGATTTGGTACTGTGTCAAACGCTTTGCTAAAGTCCAAGTAAATAATATCGTTATTACCGTCATTATCTACTACCTCGAAGACTTTCCTAAAAAACATCAGCAGATTTGTTAGACAAGATTTTCCCATTGTAAACCCATGTTGAGAATCGTAGATTAATTTGCTTTTCTCTAAATGCGATCGAATGCTATTTGCTGTAATTGATTCAAGAAATTTCCCCACTACTGACGTCAAACTAATCGGCCGGTAGTTCGACGCTGATGCTCTGTCTCCTTTTTTAATATGGGTACTACATTTGCCTGTTTCCACAAGTCTGGCACAATTCCCGTGTCTAATGATTTTGTAAATAAATTTACGAGGGGTCCGCTAATCTGTTCCCTACACTCTTTCAAGACTCGAGGGAAAATTTCATCCGGCCCTGGGGATTTTGTTTTCTTTAGTTTATTTATCTTTTTAAGAGCATCCTCTTTTCTGATAGTGATATTCTTTAATTTCTCTTCTTCGTTTCCCCTAAATATCAGTTCCACCTCTGGAATTTCCTCGTGAATTTCTTCTGTGAAAAATGATAAAAATTAAGTAGATGCCCTAGTGGTAACCCATGTAGGTTGACACACCCTACAGTGAGATGAAGACCTGACCCAGGAGAGGTACCTGAGTTAACCCGTGTTACTCAAGAAACTACACCTGGACAAACTGTCCAGACCTGAGTCAGTGCCTGACCCAAGAGAGGTCAGTCACATTGACCCAGAGTCCTCACCGCCACGCGATTAGCTTAACCCGGTGACATGACCATGTTAAATAAATCACACTCAGCCAAGACACACCCGGGTGGTAATAATTAGGAAGCATTACTGACCGGCGACATGACCACGCACCTGGGCAAACACAGCTGTCCAGATCTAACCAGTTTAATATTAATTAGGAGAGGTCATCTGACGACTCTCCTCCAATATAAAGACTCTACTAGCATTACTTTCACATCACTGAAGACAGAAGATGGAGTCATGCTCTTTTCTAGTCGAGGTTGGGGAGACTTCCCTCCCCAGCACCGCGTCTCCAGCTAGCAGAGTCTCCCACAGGAGACATTTTTTTTATTGGGCACTCCCCTACATCCTTGTGTAAGGTGAAGCGCAGAAGCGTTTACAGCGCCCAACAGGGAAGCATGCTAAGTTCATGCTTGCCTTTATGTCTCATGAGTCAAGGGCGTAGAAGCCTGAAGAGTCAATCGTTTTTGTCATCAAGTTATTAGAAGCTCCAACAACTCCCTGAATATGAATTCGCAACTTTCAATTTACAACAGGTACCTACTTTACTGCTAGGTGAACAGGGACCAATTGGGGCAAGGAAGTATGTCCAAACAACTTTTCCACCGGCCCAGGAATCGAACCTGTGACATCTCGCTTACGAGGCAAGAGCGGTAGTCCAGCACTCCCTTCAACAGCACCTGCTGGGCCTCCCTCAGGTCACACGTGAGTCATTGTCAGAGCGATCCATAAGGTGAGTTACTTACGGTGGGAAGTGTATCCGTTTCATGTTTGTGTCCGAGAGTCAGTGTTTAGTACCGTAAATATAATGTTCTAGTAACTTCGATATACAGTGAGTTCTGCTATAACGCGTGTTTTGACAACGCGAATTGGCTCTAACGTGATTTATGAATAGAGGAACGATATTTGTATAACGCGAACGCTTGTTTGCTGTAACGCGATTTTTGCTTACTATTTCTCCAATTTTGTGGTATTAACTGTGAATATGGTAAAGAAGAATATCTCCAAGAAGCGTTCTGGTGATCGCATTCCCGGTGATGATCGTAAAAGAAAGGCTATAACCCTTGAAGAGAAGCTCGATGTTATCAACCTCAAAATCACCCTTCTCCCCATCAAGTTATATTCATATTTTTTCAAGGTAAAGTGTTACATTTATTGTATGATTTCATTGTTAGATATGAATGTAACATTTATTTAGACTGTGCTATCCTTTGTGTTAGGCTAACTACGAATTTTTTTCGATTTCGAGTAATCTGCACCTAACCCTATTTTCTCCATAAGCCCTGATATTTCTATTACACGAATTTCTATAACACGATGTTTTACAAGAACACTACTATCGCGTTATAGCAGAACTGACTGTAATGTTCTATTAATGTGTCTGTGTCATTGAGTGAATAATAAATATCTGTACTTAGAATTGGTTTAGAAAATTCCCCCTACGAATATAATATACCAAGTGAAAGTGAAGAATCCCCCTCATTACAAGGCAGCCAATGGATGAGGACTTACGTGACACAAGGCAGCCAATAGGGGGAGGAGGGGGTGAACCTACATGACACAAGGCAGCCAATGGGGGGAGAGGACTTACGTGACACAAGGCAGCCAATAGGGGGAGGAGGGGGTGAACCTACATGACACAAGGCAGCCAATGGGGGGAGGGGGGTGAACCTACATGACATAAGGCAGCCAATGGGGGAAGGAGGGGTAGGACCTACGTGATACAAGGCAACCAATGAGGCACAAGGAATAAGTCACATTTGAGGAGAGTTTTTCAGCAGTTGTCACTGACCCGGAAACCCACATATCTACACAGAGTTATATCCGGCTCTTGGGGGAAAACTCTGGGCAATACATCCGGCTCTTGGAGGAAACTCGGGGTAATACGGCTGTTAAAACACACATTTAATCCGAGACGTTTTAAGGTCGTTTGTGGATTGCTTAATGATTCAAGCTGAACACACACACACACACACACACACACGCATGAAGCATTTTTCTACCACAACATTTTCCCTCACCACCACGCTCTTTTTCCCCTGCCGTCATCAATTACCTCCCTTGAGTCCCCTAGAGAAATGAGTCGAGGATTTCTTCATGTCAGACATTGTGTCGTAACGAGATAATATCCTCTTGGCGACGTCACTGACCCTTATGAACCTATATGAGACCAACAAGTTCCCAACGTGTATCGTCTCTCTGGTGTCATATACTCTATCGGCCTTTTTATCACTATACCTCAACGCTATTTACAGGTCGGTGTTATTTTAAGCTCTCAATAACACTTCTATATAATACCTTTTGTTCATCTGTTACACCTGTTAGTACGAATTTCTGTAATGTTTAGTTAAGTCAGGTTTCAAAGGAATTCAGTTTATTTTGTTTTAAGGATTTGTTTAATTTAATTTGAGAAGGACATGGGAGAGAGAGAGAGATATCCATGTAGCAAAATCTCTATGAAATATCATATTAATAATAATATAACCTACTGTAATTAATTTTCCCCATACGTCTCTTCTCTTACCTGTCTGATATAATTAATCACCTGTTCCATCAGATATAAATGACGTTAATTGTAAACAAAATTTAATTAACTAAATCACGCGTTCAATCCTTCAATAAACAACTAAAAAAAATATATTACTCTAACAACAACAT